ACTGACTTCACTGTAAATGACTTCATTTTATATTTATATTTTATCATATTCACCCCTCTTTTATCCTCTCACCCCACTTCCACTAACCCCCTTCCACTTCCCAACTAGTCTCCCATACACAATGAAAATAAGGTTGCTCACCTTAATTAAGAGCATGGGTGAGGAATATTTACAGAGCACAGGCACCTTACCAGTATATGCACCACTGAAGAAGACATCTCTAGCTCCCTAGAAACCATTAACTGTGTATAGATCCTTTTTCAGAATGACTGTCAAGTTCTGGTATCAAGGTCAGGCTGGCCTCACCATAAGAATGCCTGTCTTCAAGGCCAGCACTGCATCCCTGCCAGGATTCACTCCCAAGTGTTCTACTCTGCAGCTCTTATAACTGGCTTCCTCTCAAGCCAGCCCATTTGTTCCCTAGTTCTTCAACCCATATGGTCTTCCTGGTATTGTGCTATATTTGTCCTTGTAGGCAGCTGTTCGGGAAGATTCCCAAAGATGCCCGCTCCCCGGCTTCTCACAGTTGGGCTGGGAGGGGAATATTCTTTGTGTGTGAAGGTATCTTCTCTCTCTCACTCTCTACTGCAAAGGCCCTGACCCCTTCTCTCCCTGTCCAGTGTTACAAAAGCTCCAAGGACCGGCAGCCACACCTGAGGCTGGCACTAGATGTCTGCACCGTCATCTACGTGCCCAAGGACAGCAGGCACAAGCGACATGAACTGCGCTTCTCCCAGGGGACCACAGAGGTGTTGGTGCTGGCACTGCAGAGCAGGGAGCAGGCGGAAGAGTGGCTGAAGGTATGCCAGACACACGGGGGAGCCTGCCTTCCTGCCCTTCCTCTCTTACTCAGATGTGCATCAGTGGGCTGGATCCTAACCCTGGAAAGATCAAGCCTTACCTAAGGGAGAAGGAATCAGTGCCTGAACCCAGGTGCCCTATGCATGGATTGGCACATGTCCAGTGGGCCTCAGATATTCACAACAGACAGACCTCATGCTAGAGGCCTATGGCTTTCCAGTTACTGACTTTGCTGTGTTAATGACCTACTGTGGGTCTATTCCTATGTCCTAGAATAGTGAGCTTAATACCTGTGAAGGAAACTGATTTTATTATTAAGCCAGCTAACCCTTTTAATTTAAGAAGTAAAAGAATAAAAAGGGAAAATCCTTTCTTGTTTAGGTTAAAAAGTACCTCATAATGTCCACTCGGGGTCCAGCATCTGCTTCTTTGTGGTGACTCAGAATCATGAAATTACCATATATTGAGTACGCACTGTGCCAAAATCTTCATATACATGGCCTCGTAAACGAGGCCCTGGGGTTGTTGTTACTTATGTTCAAAGGTGGAAACTGAGGCAACCCAGAGAATCTAAGTAACTGCCAGACTGTCAAGTTATTGGGGCAGGATTTGAGGCTAAGCAGATCTGCTCAGAAAGCAGGCATGGTGGCGCAGCAACAACAAGGGAACCGGTGGCACAAGGATTGGGTTCAGGTCCCAGACCTAAACACACTGGCTATGGAATCGTCTGCAAATAACTCTACTTTCCTGTGCCTCAGTTTCCTCATCTGTAAAACGGTTCTTTCATGGGTTCTAAGGAGCAGCTGGCCCAGTGCCTGCCAGGTGGTAAGTGAACTGTATGGGTCTTTCCCATCTAACGATGGATGGGGACACAGACAATGCCACCCCCAACCCTTTCCAGCCAACCCTCAGTCCTTCTAGTCCACTGGACACCTTGCTCTCCCCTCCTGCCTTCCTGTTGGAACAATGAAACCAAGGCCCTCCCTCGGCCCTCCCTTCCTTCCTGTGATAACCAGCTCTTCTATGGAATGTTTGTCCTCATCTCTGCCTTTGTGTCGGGAGGGGAAGGAAGGGAGAGAACTTGCCCGCCTGCTGGGGAGCGTCTGCCTCCAGGCTCTACATGGGAACCCTCAGCTCAGAGTTCAAAGGGATCTGCCTGAACATCATCATGGCCTGGCTCAGGGCTTACAACCATGGGTAGGGGGCAAGCAGCCACACACCCTGTACTTGGGTTCTGGCTCTGCTGTCCCCTACCCGTGGATTTGGGTCCCTGAGTCACAGCATCCTCATTTCTAACTTGGTAATTATGGGCTGCCACGGGGATAAATGCTATCATCTAGGTGAGGGGAAAGTGGTGACTTTTTTAAAATTTCATCATCTTCATTCTTACTCCTGTGACCTTTAGAAAGTGAAGGGATGCCACTGGATCTCAGTTTCCATGTCACTGAAAGAAGACTGATAAAGTTCCCTGCAGTCACAGAAGCAGGCCCCTTACCATTGTGAGACTTCGAGATTCACATCACCCTCTTTATCCATGATCTTACTCCCCTCAGACCACCCAGCAGAGGGCCAGCATTCTTACATTACAGGTGTAGAAACTGAGGCTCAGAGCAAGGGCATGGCTTTCCTAAGACTGCACTACTAATCAGCAGTGAAGCCAGGTCTAGTACTTCTAGTCCAGTGTGTTCTCCATCCAAGGGGCAGACACAAGAAAAAGCCTTTGTAGACCCTGACATATCCAATAAGCATGCAAGTGGTTACTTCAGCCCTTCTCTGCCTCCTGGTGGCCCCAGTCCTCTTCACAACAGCCCCAACCCTATAACCCCCAGTCATGCTTTGTCCCTAGAGCTTCCCTGTGCTCCTGTCTCCAGCTGTATGTCCTCTTCACAGGTCATCCGCGATATCAGCCGGCCTGTCATGGGAGCCGAGGGCTTGGAGGCCCCCAGATCTCCAGTCTTCCTGTGCAAGCTGGACCTAGACAAGGTATGTCTATCTCCAGTAGTTTCCTTTTGACCAGGCAGTAGACAATCACATGTTCCACCCCAGGGACAAGTGGTGAAGCCAGGCCCCAGCCTGTGGTATCATACAAGCTGAGCAACAAAGTGGTAGGTTCCTGTCAGTCAGACTTGAGTCCCTAGAAGAGGGAAGATATGTTTTGGTTCTCAGTGTCAGTCCACAGTTAGCTGGCTGCATTGCTATGGGCCTCAGGCTAGGTTGAACATCATCATGGTGGGAAACATGGGATCAGGCAGTGCAGCTCACCATATAAAGGAAAGGAAGGAGAGAGGGAAACAGAAAGGGCCAGATATGTTTTCCCAGGGCATACCCCCAGTGATACTTCTCCCAATGAGGCCCTGTCTTCCACAGTTCCACCACCTCCGAATAATCTATTCAGATTTTTAATGTACCCATAAATAAATCCACTAATGAAGAACCCTTATGATCCAATCATTTCTCAAAAGGCTTACCTGTGAACTGCTCTGTGGGAGACCAAGTTCTCCATGCCTTAGAAGGATGCTTCGTATCCACCTATAACAGCGGTGCTGTTATGCATCTACTGCGTTCATGAATGCACAAATGAGTGCCTAGGCCCAGCCTTCAATAAGACAGGAAAGAGTGGCTCGCTCTGCCAGGACAGAAAGAGGCCATAGTTGGTCCGTGCCTTAGAAACTCTCCACCAGAAAAGGCAGGTGCCTGTATAGAATTTGAGTGAAGCAGGCATTGGTCAGTTAGTCAAGCCTGGGGTAACTGCATAGTAATACCAAGTAACGTGGGTTACAAGAGGACTCGAGCAACCATCCCTAAGAACATTATGGCTCAGGAGCAGGTTGAGGCTAACATATCTGGACTAGGGCTCTGTGCCTAGTATCCTTGCAAATACTTTACTTTCTGCAACAACTCTTGGAGGAGGTGCATTTTCAGAGGAGCGAGTCGCAACACCAAGTCCATAGGAAATATGGAACAGAGCTAGCTAGCCAGGGTGTACACCCACACAGGCTTGCTCTTCGGGACACTGCTATTGCAGTACAGCATCCTGAGCATTCACTGGGCAGGTCTTTAGAGAGGATCTACCCAAACCAGGTCCTGTGTGGCCCCCCAACCCTATCATGCCTACAGCACTGGTCAGGCAGGCGTGAGTCCAGAAAAGTCACACTGATTTATACCTGCCTCTCTGGGTACAAGCTAGGAGAGGACAGCACCAGGTTCCCGAAGAGTGTATAGGAAGGTTCAGGAAGGTTCCTGAAGAAGTGACTCCTCAGATGAGAATGAGAAAGCAAAAAAGAAGACAGGTGGGGCTAGAGAGATGGCTCAGCAGTTAAGAATGCTTCCTGCTCTTCCAGAGAACTTGAGTTGATTCCCAGCACCCACATCAGGTGGCTCACAACTGCCTGAACTTCAGCTCCAGGGGACAGCATGCCCTCTTTTGGCCTCGGCAGGCACACACATATAATACACTCACACAGACACATAAAATAAAAAACATACATATTTAAGAAAGATGACAAAGGGGTTCTAAGCAGCAGGAAGAGGCACTAGAAAGGAGACATGAAACTGCAAGTGGCCCATGTGGCTTGGCTCAGAGGTGGAGAACTTATCAGCACTGTTCAAGCTGGTCCTGACACTGACAGGAGGCAGAGCAGGGCACTCAGGGTGGCTGGAGGGGCTGGAGTTAGGGAAGATGTGTGCCTGTGCCAAGCCTTAAAGCACATACAAGAGTGATTGAGCTACAGTGAGTCAAAAGGGGACAGCAGAAGCCAAGGCCTGAGGTCAGAAACGGACATGGAGTTCAGATCTCTGGTGCCTAATGGATGCTGATGGAGAAGCCCAGCCCTGCCCTCACTTAGCCTTTAGGAAAGCAGCTTTGGAAGAGGGGTGTGCGTGTGTGGATGCACACTAGGGGGTAAGTTCTGTGGTGTAGTTCGAAGGCTATGTGAAGCAACAGCAGAGAAGGCTGTGCAGTGGCATTGCCTCCCGTGGTTGAGTGAACAGGGCATGGTGACTGAAGTGATTACAGTGCTATTTTTGGTGGAAGTAGAGCTGGAGATGTATCGGTGGATCCCTCTCCATGGAATCAGAAGATTGAAATGCTATTGCTGAACTAATTCACAGTGCTCTCGACCGTCCTCTGTGTTTGTGTCCCGTCTTGTACACACTGTTACAGAATGAATGGTTTCTGTTTCAAAACCAGCAGATGAGATTCTAAACACTTTTGGCTATTCATCCCATTTCTGGCAGGTATCCTTTTTTCCAGCCCTTTAGAGATTAAGGAGAACACAGAACCTTCCTTTCTTGCCCCCCCCCAACCCTGTAGTACTATCCTTATCATAAATCATCCCTTGGTCTGTTCTGGGGGGTCCTTCACAGCACATGCTGAAGAAATGTCATTCTATCTTCTTGAGGGTATGGGTGTCATTTATTCCCATCTCAAGTCCAAATGGCCCAGGTTAGCTTCTTGAAGCAAGGTGACAGCACATCACACAGTGTTAGAACCCGTGGAAGCTGCTGGCCTCATAGTTTCACCAGGGCTAGCTTTCTGCCCCACAGGTGCTTTCTCAAGTGAGGTGAGAAAACCCAGCCTTAGGGAAATGGATTTTCCCATGTTCCCATAGCTAATAAGCAGCAGTAGAATCATAATTTCTTCCATAATATCTGTTCTACCTCCTTTGTAGCATATTAATGAATTAATGACAGTATGATTGGTCCACATTTACTATGGCTGGCAACAAAGTTGTTAGCATGGTGTGTGGGGTGTACGTGTATCTTTATCCTCATCATCCTCTCATCCAAGGTAGAAACGTAACGGACTTCTGCAGGTCATCTCCCAGCTCACCCCATCTCCTCCATCCTCACTATCATCTTGGTTCAACCACTTCTGAAGCCTCATCCTTGACAGGTTGTCTTTTATCCAGTTTGCCCCCTCTTGCCTATCTCCACAGTGCCACTGGATTATATTCACATCCCACTTAAATGTCCTCCCAGCTCCCTGTCACTTGCCAAATACAGTGTATATGGTCCAAGACATTGTCAATGTGCTATAATTAGTGATCCCCCTCCCCAGAAGAGTATAACATGACCATACTAAAGTCATTGCTTTCTTGCTGATAATACTGTACTGGTGTAGCGCCAGGCATATGGTTGTTCACAGTGTTTGGTAACTAATTATCCTGTGCTCGGGGACCCGGGGGAAGATTGAACTGATAAAAGAGACCTTCTGAGTATCCCCCTGATGTGAGGCTATGTCTTTCTGCAGAGGTTGTCCCAAGAGAAGCAGAACTCAGACTCCGACAGCCTGGGCATGAGTGACAGCAATTCTACCCTTGGTCGCAGGGAGGCCTGTGAACATGGTAGGAGCCTCCACCAGTCTATGCTCGAGAATGTCAAGGCTAAAGGGGGCCTTGCCCCCCATAACAGCTCCCAGGCAGAGCAAATCCTGGGGATCGGAGTAAGATCACTGAGCCTGCCATTCCTAGTTCCTGTATGCAGGATGCAAGAGCTTCCAGGAAGGCCAGGGATGGGTGGAAGTGGGGCTCTGGACTCTCCCCAACCACCGTGACCCACCTCTGCACCACAGGCAAAGGGAAGAAGAATAGCCTGGCTGAGCTGAAGGGCTCCATGAGCAGGGCTGCAGGCCGCAAAATCACCCGTATCATCAGCTTCTCTAAAAAGAAGGCACTGGCCGAGGACCTACAGACATTTTCCAATGAGGAGGAGGTTCCATGCTGTGGTAGGTATTGGCTCAGGGTGGGTATTGGGGCTGACATAGGAACCTTCATGCCTCAGCCCCCTGGCACTTGCCTCTGGATTGCTAGGCCCCCCACTCCAGCAACATCCATTGCTTATAATCTCTTTACTCCCATGGGATCTTATACCCAGAGAAAGGAGAAGCCAGCTGACCCTCAGATCTGTTATCCCATGCTCTCAGTCACTGCCCATCCCTCAGCCTGTTTCCTCTGCTAAAATAAGAGATTAACTCATTTCATAGCATTTAACATGCCAGGTACACTGGGCTTGGTGCTACATACCTGTAATTCCATCTCTAGGAAGGTGGAGGCAGGAGGATCAGGAGTTCACAATGGGTCATCCTTGGCTATATAGTAGTAAGTTTGAGGCCAGAGGCCAGCCTGGGCTACATTGGACCCTATCTCAAAAATAAACAACAAAGGCATTCCATGTGTATTAGTTACAATCCAGTCTTATAAGGAAATCGGGATAAAAATAAACGTTTAAGTACTTCTTAACATGAATGCATTCAATGTGAGTAAAAAGTGTTTTGAAAAAGAAGGGCATAACTTTCTTCATTTAAATGCTGTGGTCCATGTACTGCAACCCAAAAGAAAATCAGCCGTTTTTAAAGGAATAGAGGTGTGGTTCAGTGGCAGAGCATTTGCCTAGCCTGTGTGAGGCCCTGGGTTCTACTACTAGCGCTGCAAAAAAATGAAGTAAAATCATCTATTTTGAATACACAGAAATATTCTAGTAGTATAAAAGCACATGATAATAAATATTTGTGAGCATTGAATCAAAGAATGCTATGGTTTTAAAAAAAATAAAAAGATTAAATCTAAAATGCTCAGAGGAAATTCCTAATTCCATATGTGGCCAGATTTATAAATCTTTACTGAGCTAGATGATGGTGCTCCCACTCACTGCCGCTAGGTGTCAGCACAATCCATTAGTTTCCATCTTTTAGTAGTGTCTTTTGTACATCCTACCAGTTCCATCACATGTGGTCCTGAGGCTGTGCAGCAGAGATGCATGAGCGGCATCATCAGTATGTGCTCACAGCTAGGCAGCTGAGACTCGGAGATAATGCCTAAGGTCATAAGCCTTCCCAACTAGAGTGCATAGGTCGTGTGGCTGTCCCTTAGGGCCTTTGTCTAGAGGACTATGGGAAGTCATGCCACCATCTCCCCTCCCAGGCTACCTGAATGTGCTGGTAAACCAAGGCTGGAAGGAACGATGGTGCCGCCTCAAGTGCAACACTCTGTATTTTCACAAAGACCGCATAGACCTGAGGACCCATGTGAATGCCATTGCTCTTGGGGGCTGTGAGGTGGCCCCAGGCTTTGGACCCAGACACCCATTTGCCTTCAGGATCCTACGTAACCGGCAGGAGGTGGCCATCCTGGAGGTGAGAGGGGAGGGTTCAGGTAACCCTGCAGTGGTGGTCTTGTTGGGTGGACGGAGGCTTGCTATTACATTACAAGAACTTGAGGGGAAGACCCAACAGGACTATCAGGTAACCTAAGGGATACCTAGATATATTGGGATTTCAAATAAAGAAAGAATCACATTTTTTAATATTTATTATTTTTAATTTTTGTGTATGAGTGTATTGCCTGCATATATATAAGTGCACCCATGTTGTGCAGTGCCCTCAGAGGTCAGAAGAGGGCATCAGATTCCCCTGGAACTGGAGTTATGGATGGTTGTTAGCTGCCATGTGGGTGCTGGGAATCAAACCCAGGTCCTTTATAAGCAGCCAGTGCTCTTAACACTGAGGCATCTCTGCAGCCCTGGAATCATATTTTTAATACAAGCATATTCCATGCAATTTTGAGGGCACATCTACACCAAAAGGTTATTTGTTGTTTATCTGAAGTCCAAATTTAACAGAACATTCTGTGTTTTTATGTCCTAATTCTGGTAGCCCTAATTCTAGAGCCAAGGTTTGTTTACTCTCCATGGTCCCAAGTCTGAAAGACCTCTCATGTGGTCTAACTGGGATCTGAGTCTAGAATTTTCTCTAAAACCTTCGAGTCTTCCCAGCAGGGGTCATCCACCCTAACAGAGCCACTGCCTTTCAAGGTGCCCCTCCTAGCAAGCACGCTAGTCTCTACAAAGAGCTTCTCACATTAGATTTAAAAACCTTTAGCTTGGGGCAGAAGAGGTGGTGGCTCAGTTAAGAGCACTGGCTATTCTTGCAGAGGACTTGGGTTCAGCTCCCAGCACCTACATGACAGCTAATACCCATCCAAAACTCCATTTCTCGGGGGGTCCAACACCCTGTTCTGGCTCCATAGGCATTGCATGCACATGGTCACTTATATACATGCAGGCAAAACACTCATATACATAAAGAAAAATAGTAAATAAATAAATAAAATTTTAAGAGCTTTCAGATCCACGAAGGCAGCAGCCATGCTTTTATGCAACTTTTATTTCTTTTAGAGCTGTGCCTGGTACCCAGCACACACTATGAGCCCAACATCACATGTTGAACAATGGATGGGTGGCACTTACTTGCTGTCTTTCCTATCTGCTAGCACTGCCCTCCTCACTGAGATCCCACAAAACATACAGACACCCCTCCAGGTAACAGCCTTTTGGCTATTGAGACTTCGAAGTGCTGACACTGGAGGAAAGTTCAAATGCCAGTCTCCCCACATTACAGACAAACAAGCCAGGGTGGCCACATGCTTTCTGAGGATCCCTATAGCCTCTTGGTCTCCTCCCAGAACTAAAACCCAGCCTCTGTCTTGCTCCCAGTACCCACTGCCTCTCTTGATTCTTTGATTCCAAGAAATACTGTCTCTGCAGCGTTTTGAGTCTTCTAGAAAAAGCAAACAAATGCTTTCTCTATTTCCTTATTCAGGTTTATCATTTACCAGCTAAGGTGATAATTGTATCAATGCTCTTTAAATCCGAATTGAGCTGGGTACAGAGGTGCACACCATTAATCCTAGCGCTTGGGAGGCAGAAGCAGGCATATCTCTGTGAGATCAAGGCCAGCCTGGTCTGCATAGCAAGTTTCAAACCAGCTGGGGAATTACAGGGAATTCCTGTCTCAATAATAAAAATCAGAATTACATATTTAGTTGACTGGCAATTTTTTGGAAATTTTCCTACAGAGTACTATGATGATTTGTCAATTGCAATTATAAGAAAAATTAACTTTTATATTGTTATATAAGCAATAGCCTCCTCTAATTATGATATACTGTTTTTGTATAGGTATAGATATATAGATATAGATATACACACAAGGCCCTGGATTTGATCCCCAGCATAGAGGAAGAAGAAGAGGGACTAAGGATGAAGTTTTCAAATATTTCAGAGAAGACCTAAAATGTTTTTACTTTCAAATGTTCAGTTGTAAAAGTACAGAGGGTAGAGAGTGAGGACATGCTGTCTTAGAAGCAGTCAGGGAAGGCCCCTTGGAGGATGTGGCTTTTGAGCAGATTCTTGTGTAAAGGAAAGTAAGGAACCTCAGGTTTCTGGATGTGTGTCTAGTCTCCTTCTTTCATCCCTCAATACTGGATACATAATAGGTACTTACAAACATTTATGAGTTTGGCTGAAATGACCAGGCAGCCAGAAGGTCTCAGAGTGAAAGTGAACTCTGCTGTGCCTCCTCTCCTCAAGGCAAGCTGTTCCGAGGACATGGGCCGCTGGCTTGGACTGCTCCTGGTAGAGATGGGCTCCAGAGTCACCCCAGAGGCACTGCACTATGACTACGTGGATGTGGAAACCTTAACCAGCATCGTCAGCGCCGGGCGCAACTCCTTCCTGTAAGGATGGCCCCACAGCCTATAGCTGCCTGTGCCTTCTGGCCTCAGCTCCATCCCCAGACCTCTGTGTGCAGCCTTGAGCACTGGGAGCAAAAGGAGGGCAAGCTCAGGAAGACTTCTTTCCTTAAGAAACTAGGGTGGGGCCTCCTTCATCCAGCACGGGAATGCCTAGCCCACTGTTTGCCATCCTGGAGTCCTCTGACTCATAAAGGATGGTAATGAACCACATGTTGCTGGATGGTTGTGAGGCTCAGGCACATCCCACCTATGCATCCCTCACACAGCACACGACCTTCCAACCTACTTTAAAAGCTGCTGCCAGAACCAAATGACAGTAGACAGGAAACCAGTGTAAGCCAAAAAGTGTCACTAACATCACTGTGCCTTTCCTGTTCTAGGTATGCAAGATCCTGCCAGGATCAGTGGCCTGAGCCCCGTGTCTATGATGAAGTTCCTTATGAAAAGGTGCAGGTATGGTCCATTCAGGTGGCACAGCAACATGGCAAAGGCCATCCTACTGTTACTTCTCTTTCTCCTTCACTGTCCACTGTATCCTTTGCTTCAGATAAATTGCCTTCAGGAGCCTTCCTGCTTTCAGCAGCATGCCCAGTGCCTTCTCCTGGATGGGGCAGAGCCCTCACATCTAGAAAAGAGAGAATGAACCAAACTTCAAGGACATAGCATGTCCTTGGGCCAGGACACTGCATGAACAGTCCTAGATAACACACTGACTTCTCACTTCCATGACTGACCCCCTTTTCTAGAAACTTTCCCAGTCCACCCTTCCGTTGGCAAGGTCTTTCTTCAGACAAAGATGAAGGAGTGGATGCAGAGAAACTAGTAGCCAGGCGGCTTAGCACTTGAGATGTAAAGGTTGGGAATGAGAGGCCAGGTGAACTGGGGATTGCTTCTCAAGCCCCACCTCCAGCTCCACCCAGATGTGGGTATGCGGGTCTCCCAGGAGTGTTGCAAGAACAAAATGAAGTGATTTGTGTAAGGAAAAGGAAATGAGCACAGTGCCTGAGAAGTGGGAAGTTCTGTACAGAGAAGTAAGCAGTGCTGTTTTCATAAGACAATGGTTACATGGCAGCATTCCATCACACCAGGCTTCCTAGGCTCAGGCTGGACCTGGAGCATTGGCGATGCTCTTAAAGGACAAAGATACAGCCAGTTTAATAAGCTGTACCACTTCTACCGTTTTCTCCTCTCATCATTGACATTGCTTTCCTCCTCTTTCCCCACCCCCAGCAAGTGCTCCTGCTTAGGGTTTCCTTCTTTTGCCTCCCACTGAAAGGTATGAGAGTCAAATGATACTGCTAATGAAGGTGGTCTATAAACTATAGAGTGCTGCACAAGTCTACAAATGCAAGGCCAATGCCTCAGAGGTGCTGGGCAGAAACCCCTGCCTGAATGTGGAAGCCTGCTCTTAACCTTCATCTTCTGTCCCCCGCCCAGGATGAGGAGCCCCAGCGCCCCACCGGGGCCCAGGTGAAGCGCCATGCATCTTCCTGCAGCGAGAAGTCCCATCGAATGGACCCGCAGGTCAAAGTCAAGCGTCATGCCTCCAGTGAGTTCCCTGTGGCCTGCCTTCCTGCTAAGGGGAGTTGGAGGGAATGCATGGCAGAGGTCTCAGCACCAGATTTCTCCAGGGCTCAGGGAGGAAAATAAGTAAAGCAACATGTCAGGAAATACCCTAAGAAAAGTAACAGAGTAGCTATGTAGCTCAGGGCAAGAGTGCTTGCTAAGCTCTGCCAGCAGCTCTGCAACAGAAACAAAACAAAAGTAACAACACAAGCCCAGTAATAAAGGGCAGATGGTAGGTGACCCTGCAGGAAAATGGAGAGACTAGAGTGCTTGGTCCTGACTCTAGAGGTAGGGGGACCCACACAGCATTTACTGATTACTCAAAAGAATTTTTAATATTGCATGTATATTATGTATGTAGCAAACGTATGTTTATATGTGCATATTTATGCATATACCTGTGTATGTACCTGTGTGGGAGGGGTAAAAAGGGGGAGGGAGAGAGAGAAAGAGAGAGAGGAGAGACAGAGAGAGAGACTGTCTCTGAGCATATTTTTTCCAGAAGCCAACTATTTGTGGTTTCTGATCTGGATAGTAAGTGGAAAACCAAACCCCTCCACACTCCCTGGACAGGGTCTCCAGAAGAATTGTGTGGCAGCCTGCACTCTGCCTTGTATCCAGGGAACTTTTTGAGTTGCCTGGTTGCCGTGCTGCATGCTAAGCTGCATGCCAGGCAACTCCTGTGAGTTCTACCTGATCTCCAGCACTAGCCTCTACTCTGCTGGGACTGTCATGAAGCAAACCATCTTCCTACAGGACAGCCTGAGTCAAGAGTTTTCCTTCCTTCCTTCAGGTTTCTTCCACCTACACGTGGACAAAGTCAAGTTCTATTCTGAAGTCTTCAAAAAGCAAACTGCTCTTCTGTTCCCTAGCACCATTTCATTAATCGAAACCATCACTCCTGGGACTCAGGAAATCTGTTCTCTATGCTTTCTTTGATTACACTACTAAAGTTTAACTTTTTAAAAAAGTCCTTTCCCCTCTCTGATCTGAGTTCCCTCTCAGTGACTAGAGGGATGTGTAACATTTTTAATTAGCCACCATTGTTGGCACTGGAAATAAGGGCCTTAGAAAAGCTTGTTTAAAATTGGAAAACTGAGCTGGGCCTCATGGTACATGGCTGCAATCCCAGCATTCAGGAGGTAGAGGGAGGAGAATCACTGTCAAGTCCAAAGCCAGCCTGGTCTTTATAAGTGAAAAGGCTAGCCAGGGCTACCTAGTGAGACCCTGTCTCACACACACACACACACACACACACACACACACACACACACACACACACGGGGCCCGAAAAGGGGGTGAGGGGGAAAG